GAGTGACTGATGCTCACCGGATTACACGTCGCAGGTGAACACTAATAATAACAATACTAGAGGTGTAGTAGTGACGTCAGTGGTATAATTATATATTACACTCTAAAGTGAAAAGGTCGATTACGAACTATGTGGTTGCAGAATCGATTCCAAAATATACAGGAGAGACACCAATTGGAGAAATGCTCCTCATTAAGATTATGGTCAGCCAACTGAAACCACAGTGGTGTTCAGAAGTACCTGCAACAGGCAGCATCTACAGATAAGTCGATTCCTACGTCCACTCTGCCAAACATAACTACACATTGAAACAACATCCTTCTCAGTACACGTTGGTTAACATTCTCTAATCACATGATACACACACACATCACACCTTACTCATATAAAGCATCAAGTTGAATGAACATCCTGTTGATCTCTGCACATACCTGTAGGCAGTGATGTTCAATGACCTTCAATAAAGAAACTAAGCATTCCTTCGTATTGACAGTGTGGCCTGATCACATTCCACACTGTGATAAACAATTTCTCTACTTAATTAACTGGAATCTCTCTTCATCTCATCGTCTTAATTAATTATTTAATTAATTAATTAGTTATCAGTTTCTTGACAAGAGACTTTATAAATGGAAAAGTGAATTTATCATAAGAATGACTTGAAAGAAAGCGGAAGTATGTTAATGAATCACATGATAATGTGGTGATTAGAAGAAATAAGTGAAAGAGGAATGTCATTCTGTGTACACAAGTATGACAAATGAGTATGATGGCCGGATCATTGAGATGCTTGCATTGTGATAGCAGAGCACAGAGATATTTGGCATCAGTGTTGTTCATTTGGCATATTGACATAATGCGATGACAGATTGTGAGAAGCCTACATTGAAACTTCGTTTGTTGTAGTTTAGTCATATTCTGCTATCTCCGTCCATGCTTCATATTCTGTACATTCCCTCCTCATTATCTGGATCGTTTTGTCTTTAAGACAAAATTGGTCGCTTCGCTGATAAAGATTCCTTCAGAAGATGACACCAGTTTAATTCTGACACATTCTTGTCAGCAGCACGAAATCCACTCTTGCGTGCATAAGCGAATGTTTTCGTTTGTGTCATTTTGCGATAATAATATAAGATCTCATCGTATACTGTGACGACTGATTACTTCTTGTTGACATCTTCCAAAACATTCATCTTGTTCCCTCAGTCTAGCGGACAGAAGCGAAACACAGAATCACCTGAATTCTAACTTTTTATACTGCGTCATATATTTTCACGACTAACAGATACCTTGGGTATTTTCATTCTTTCAGCATACGCTAGGGACATTCAGCAGAAAAACCAAGCATTCGTCAGCAAATCCTGAAATCGCACCATATAATCTGATTCTTACCATAATTGTTGATCAAGTGCACTTGTGTCAAATTACACCTTATCGATTGATCGAGATGAATAGTTGTGTGTCACTCAGATCGACCATTAGTGGTTTCTATGCACTTCGGCCAACATTTCACTCTTCAGGATGAAATATTGCATGTCTCTCAATGTCGACACTACTGAATGTGATTTAAGTAGCTTCCACAAACTACGACACCATGAACACACACAACTGGTTCGATTTATTGATTGATGTTGCAATTCCGATTCTTCTTCTTCACACTGAAGACAGAAGATATTCAAAGTGATTTCAGAGTGATGATGGTGTACTTTGCCTTCTCGATTCTGACTTCGACGTCTTCATCCGTACAGTCACGTATAGTTGAATCGATGCTGCCTGGTCAGATCAGTGAATGAAGCAACCTCTCTCAAATTTCTCCTGTTGATTGTGATTGGTCTAGTTTGTTGTTTGTTGATTATGTCGATGACCTATGTCTTCTTTAGTTCACTTGAAGTTCCATAATAGCCACGTCTTTTGGCAGCATGTCGCTTTCACCCCGTATTTCACCGAATTATTTTTGCACTACACATTTATCTTCCAAGACGTTCAGGTCTTATTGTGTCATCTTATCCATCCAACATATTCCTGTCTTCTTGCCCTCTACGTACGATGTTCCGGATATTCCAGTCCGTCGTGATCTGGAATATCATCGTTGATAATAATCGTCCTTGCTTAGCTATCTTCCCTGTAACGCCCTGACTGAGTTTGCCATCGTTAATCACTTGACGTATGGAATTGTCACTCAGGTGTTGAAAGAGTTTGAGATTGATTTGTGGCACTGCACTCCATAATGTGTAATTTGTTTCTAATATCAACTTTTTTTGTCGTTTGACTGGTTAGCCTTTCTAACAATCTGCCCGAACCTTTCCTTCTTTCCGAACTCTTTTTATTCGTTTAGTCGGCGTGTTTTCTGCAGTCTATATGTCAGTTTCCGACGCTTCTGGAGCACGTTCATGAGGTTCAGTTACATTCTAGCTTGAATTTCAGTAGCTTCATTGCGTTCAGTATTTCTGATTTCAGAGGTGGATTGGTGCCTTTTCGTTGTCCTGTGACAGCTGTAGATAGTATTTCTCAACGTTCTTGAGGTGATAGTCTATTTCGAATCATTTGAAGTGATCAGTTTATTGTTTTATTTTGTGTCTCTTCTTTGATAGGCAGCTTCCCTTGATCATCATTTATAAGTTGCATATACGCTGATCTCTTCCAGGACAGGCAACTGATTATCTGATGTAGTTGTCTGAGGTCTCGTTCTCCCGCACTCTAACTCTTCTGCCTCAGTTGACAGTGTTTTGCATTGTCTCTCTTTGTTACACCTTGCTTTCACAGTATTTTGGAAAGACCATGTAATTTTTTTCTCTGCTAACACTCTTCTTGATCTCTTTATTCAGTGAGACGTGCATAGAACTCGACTCCTCCCTCCACTATCGATGTTTGCATTGTTTCATCTTCTGCTTCACCATCACAATTTCATCTATTAGATTCCAAGTGTCCGTTGAGAGTCATTGCTTTTCTTCCCTCCCCCTTCTTCCTAATATGGTTGTACACATTTCTTTGAATATCGCTTTCAGAGAACTCGAGTACTCCCCACTCAGGTTCCTTCGTTGATGCCACATAATATCTCTGACTTTGCACTGATATTTCCAGTGAAGATGCATATTTTAGTTTTACCTCCCAGCTCTTAAGTATTAAACTTGAATGGTGGTCTATCTCCAGATCCTTTCAGTGTTTTCAGCTTCACCTTGAAGTTTTCTTGGACGAGATGACGGTTTGAACCAGCGTCTACTCCCTCTCCTGACTATGTGCTCAGCAGGCCGCGTCTCTATTTTCTTTGAATGACACTGAGATGAAGTCTATCTGGTTTGTGGTGTGTCCTTCAGGTGAAATCCATATTGCCTCGGGTATATCCTTATGTTTGTACATTCAGAATCCTATCGCCAAATCACTGAATGCACAGAATAGCGAGAAGGGCTCTTCGTTCTGATTCATTCCGCTGAGAGCCTCTCGACCCATGAATAATTCACTTCCTATATCGCTTTCGCCCAGTGCAGATGGCATTCATATAGCCCTTTAGGATTTCAATGACAACATGTTGTATCTTGTCCATTATTGTTTGTAGTTGTCTACATAAATCCTCCTTTCAGTCTTCCACCGCCTTCTTTGAGGTGCATTGCATTGGATGACTGTAACCTCCCTTCATTTTCCCTTGAATTGTCCTGCCATTATTCCAGATGAGATTGGTTCTCAAAGCATTAGACCTTTGGTTGCCACTGGTGACAACGTAATAATCACTCACTGCTTCCGTATGCTCATGGTTTCGTCTGGCTGACAGGAGTAGATTATTGTTTCTCCAGTTGACAATTCGCATAGTTCAAATTCATTCCATTTGCTCTCACAAACTCCTGGCATGTCCATGCTTTATCTTCTCATTTCTCTGACTACCCGGCCAGTCTTATCAGCCTCATACAATGTACGAACATTCCAAGTTCCAATTGGTACTTTAGCTTTCATCAAAAGAATAAACATCGGCTGACTGGATTCGTGAAGGCTTTCACCAGACCAAATCATTTCACCTCTGAGATTCCAGGGAAGAATAAGTTGTTGCTTTCTTATATTTTCATGTGCTTTGAAGTTCTGATAGCTGCTAGATTGATCCTTCGGTGTATGTCCACTAGCCGCCTCAATACCACAACCTTCCAGCTTTTCACCAGCTTAGGATTGATTGAGAAGCTAGAGAACTAGCAAAGTACACGGTGTTATCTGTTTTGTGAACGTACTATAAATAGAAACAAATAGTGCTGAACATTTAAACAACACAGTAATGGAAAACGTTAACCACAATAGATTCTCATACAATTATCTGAATCTGTCAACCCTCAGACACCTACTGTGGACACAGACTATGATTCACTTTAGTGTCAAGTAAATATAGCGTCACATGTGAATCGATTTTCGGTGAGTCAAATAATATCACAAATATACACTACGTTCAGCATATATTCACAGTGTGGAAAATACTCATAGATTCGCTCTACATAATCCTGAGTTATGTCACTCCATGATGAAACTGCACTGTGAGAACCCACCATAAAGACAGAGGGGATTGTCTATTTGAGACAGAGTTTCAGTAGACAGGAGATTTCCACCTCCTGAATTTCTGTAATGACTGGTGCCTATTTGGATTAAGTTGGCAAACCATTCATCACATACTCAAGATGCCTTCACTCTCACCGTCTGTCAACGAACGGTTGAAAATCATAAATCCAGGTCTATTGAGATGTTGGTTAGATAAATTACCCAGAAACAAACGATGAAAACAAGTCACTTCTTACACTAATTATTATTTTGCCAATATTCTGAAACAGAATGAAAAACAAAATCATCTTGACCGCATACTTTCACTTCACCTCATCTCACATTCCATTGAAATGTAATGCACTTTACATTATTTCTTATCTCCATTGTCCATGTGCTAAATTAATTTGTAAAACACCAATTGTATTTGAGAGACTTCAGATGAATCAGGTATAAATAGACTGGCTATTCACAGAGACAACTCATCGTTTTAACCAGACGGGTAGACCACATCTGAGAATAGGTAAGTCCACGACGTTTCCAATATTCTTTGCTGTTATCATGATGCATTATTCTGTAAGTGAACAACACGACACAGATATTCAACCGCAGAATGTCTTCTCATTTGAGGAAGGAGACTTGTCCCTCACTGTATTCTCCTAGATGGTCAGAGATAGTCGGTGAGATGCATGTGTGGTCGTTTCACTGTCAAGTGTGTTGACAATGAGAATACACACTGTTGAAATGTGATATTCCCTATGACGTTCACTCAGCATATGCTCACAAATCAATGAATGTAAGCGCAGTCAATTCAACATGGACATGATGTGTGATATGCACTCAACTCAAAACATCCATTGAAAGCACACACAAGAGACTCGAACAATTGATGAATTACTCGATTATGTGCCATACTGAAACACTGACTGTGTACAAGTCGGTCTGTTGTACTAGCTGAGGTGAAGAAGATTCCACATTTTTGCAATACATACGCTTGCACATGAATCCATTCACATGCACACATGAATAGCTATGCAACATGAATTCATCAAGGAATCGCAACAGTCTGCACATGAATTTGTTTTCTCAATGATTTTATTCTCATTGTGATATTCAATAGTGACTGTTTATTTTTCTCTCAGATTTGAACGTCTTCATCATGCGGTGAGTTACCATGATCAATGTGATTTCTCTCTTTCATAAATGAGACATGCAACATCTCCTTGTATGTCACTGCACATGCAGAGTTATTGTTTCGTTTGTATTCCTAGCGTTGCATTAAGCATTAAAATGTGCATGTCTCTCTCATTCTCTTCCTCTCCTTACAGACTCTTCATTCTCAGTCTTCTCGTGTGTATCCACACATTACTCGCTGAATCCAATGCCAGCAAGACATACATGCTTCATTTACGTTGGCTTCCAACACACTGTCTCAACAGATATGTACGTTTACTCATCCACATAATTTTGTGGTGACCATGTTGATTGTTATTATTATTATCATTTCATCATTTCGATTCATCGACTATCCAACCTCACGTGGACGTGTCATCCTAGTGTTTGTTAGCGTCACAGACATCACAAAACCAACCTGTTCAGTCACTTGATATCCATTTCATGCATACACATGCGCGGTCACACGCTTTTGTGTCACTGAGCTATCAGGCTCAATCGATGAATGTCAGTGCGTCCATTCATCGATAGGCGACGTTGGAGTTCTCCAGGCAAAATCACACATACATGCATCTGAATTCAGACATAGATCGATGTGGAGGGAACTTGCAGTGTGCATGTATCACGTCCATTCTATTCACCTAATGAACGAGTCAAACTCGTTGAATGCTACTTGATACACAACTTCTTCTTTGTAACCATAACCATATATCTGAAACATCAATCGGTGCCAGTGCATGAGGCGTTTCATGACAAATCAGTATCGAACTACATAACCACACGCTGTACAAGCCATACAAACACACGCACACACGTATAAGATTGATATCGACAGTACTCACCAGCTAAGTTAATTTCAAACGACGATTAAAAATCTCAATTTGCTTTTCAGTGTACTGTCCCGAAGAATATGACTATGGACATTTCGAGATTGAGGTGAGATTACTGTGTATATGTGTTTTCTATATTGACACATTCTCCAACATCATCGTGGTGTGGTGCTCCCCTAAATGCAATAAATGAGTTGTATGTAATCTCTTAAATGTATCAGTACTTCACTGAAGGGTGTGAACATGGATAGAGTTGAGAAGATAATCATCGGAACTTATAAGATGAATCAGTTGACACCAGTCGACCTGTTTCATGATGATAATGCACATTTGATCTTTACCAATGTGCACAGTTGGTGAGATCAATCAAACAGTCAGAGTTATGCAAGATGAATCACTCCGTCACATGAAGACAGATGAATATGAGTGGATATGTGACTGACTGCACTGCAATGATGCTTCTGAATAATTACACGGTGGTCTGTAAAGTTCGCCAAAATATCATCACAATGAATCCTCTCATATGTTATACATTGCAGGGCACACTTCGTATACGTTAGATAATTTATATATTGATCGGATGTCGAAGGACTTTCCGTGAGCAACTCTGACAAAACTGGGATAACTGATTGAAGATGTTATAGCATGATATCATGTTATTTAGGTAGACACTTGTTCGAAGTACACTTTCACATATGCTCGCTTAGTGGTGTGTGACTGAATTGATGAATCTTTCCCGAGCATGATTTCAGTGTATCAATATTTTTTGCTTCATCTGTCGTGTTAATACTGAGTTCTTTCACAATTTCAGAACATCACCTCACTTTGACTGGACTGATTTCGCATGCACACGTCGTCTAAACTCCTCCGACAAGGATATTGTGAGTGACAAAACTGACATTTTACGCAGGTGTCTTCAAAATATTACTTCTTTGCACATAACAACATTTCACCATGTCATTCACTCGCATAACTTGCACCAGTGACGGTACTTGTGAGAGAGCAGCTGGCATAGCACACATTGAGCACTATTTAACCATTCCACTTTAATTTTCTCTCGCCTTTCCTCTTCATTATCAGAAAAGAATACCTGATCTGAATACTTATTGGACTAATCCAACTAATGAACCTTTTGCACAGTGAGTCACCTCTCAGTTTTGCTATTGTCTTTAACACAACTATGCATATCATGGACTTTACTGTGGTTTTTCACTAGTCAGAGCAAATCAGTGCGTGTGTTTGTGTTGGCAATTGTTCGCATATAGTGATTCATTGGAGGGATGAGTGATCGCCTTTTCGACACACCTACACTTCAAAATCCCACTTCCGGAGAAGGGAAATCAGTTAGTGTGAAGATGTGTAGATGGTTGACGAAAGTGTTGATGTACACCATGTTTGTGTGCGTGTGTGTCTGCCTGTTTGTTTGTTGTTGTTTTTGTTGTTGATGGTGGTGGTGTTGACAATCTACCAGCGATAAGATTTCCCAATACTGTATCTATTCTCGTGCATTCTGATTATTTTTCTCAAACAAATCTCATATTTCAGCTATGGGGTTTACTATACTTATGGATCTTGTGCAGTTGTGGATGAATCTGGATCCAGTTTAATTCTCTACATCAATCACAGCATTAATCTCTACAAAAAACTCATGACACCAAAGTACGTCAACACATGTTTCTTTCTAAATGTGTCTATTAATATTATTATTACTGTTCGAGTTATAGTAATCATTTAATTGTGTGGATTGTGAAGCTGGATTTGTGCCAGCTCACATCCATTTATCTTTCCTCATGGTATGAAGTGTGCATCCTCACACTGATCTCACACTCGAAAATCACAGTGTCCATACTCAGCTTCATTACCATGTGTACTGTGTGTTGCACCCAGTTGTGGACTGATCTGAATAGGGACTGCACTGGAGTGGACTAGAAAAGTTGGTTTATGCTGATGGAGTCAGTGATTCGTGAGACATACTGTGTTGAAGTTATAAACAGTATGGTAGTATCGGGATCAGGATAGATGAGTCGGTGTCTTGATTCAGATTCGACTCATTCACGGAACTACTGTTTCGAGGAATGTATCAAGTAGTTTCTGTGTTTTCATTCTACATCGAGACAATAATGACGCACCAACACATTTCTTGATGTGATTTTTCACATTCGACCAATAACACACATTTCCCTTCATTTTAGAAACGTTAAAAAGCTCCATAGATTATTACAGACGAAGGTTCACTCGGTAAGTTGACATTCAATTTCTCCATCAGACAAATTCATTCTAATTCAGAGTAATCAACATTGAATAATCACACTAATTCACAAACTACATTCATCCACTCTATTCATGTAGACTGCAAAAATGGAAAAAAACCTGTTGAAAATATTCGGTGTACAACCCAAGTTGATCTGTGCTCGGAGTAAGGTGGGTTATGTCTTTTCTATTCACACATTTTCAAATATTTCATCATGTCACTATAATTGCGATCTAATACATCTAGTGATAAATAACATATGCTGTGCAGATTGTTGAATGAGTGTGTTTCGATTGGATTTGCGAATCTCTTGATTTAGCCAACCACAACCAGAATTCACGTCAGTCGCTTCCAACAGCATTCAAAGTGTTCAGGCCTTAACTATCTTGAACTTCTCTGTTCGGAATTGAGAGATAAGTGAAGTTGTGTGTTGGAGACACATTTCGAGTGACGAATCATCGCTTTTTTAACTACCAAATTAACACAATTCTCTTTCTTATTCATCATTTCGCATTCTGTAGGTTGGGAGTGTTTACTTACACGAATTGGTATTCTGTTTCAATGAAGCGTCATCACTCGTCAACTGTCCATCAGAATACGCTAGCCATCTAGAGAAATTTATACCTGATGAGTATGTGAAAGATAAGAAATTACTTCGTGGGGAAATTGAGTCTCAAATCTTGTGTCCAGCCAAGTTCATCATTCCCAAGTACAAAATACTTGGAGACGCCAAAAAATACACACGTTCCATCCACGTCGATCCTAAAGGGAATTAATTATGATGAAGATGATGAGAATGAATTCGATGAAGATTATCATCATTGTGAGTAGTATTGAACTTTTGTTAGTCTATAAATATGGGAATCATAATAAGGATGATAATGTACCGCTTACTTTTCATTTGATATACTCACTTCTTGTAATGTAGTCTCTAACAAATAAAATATTTCTTACTTTTCAATGGAGTTTTCTCACTGTCATCATCCGTCTCCGCATGGACATCACGTCTACCTTTCTAACACACAAATTGTTTATGTCATCAATGAATCTTGTTTTGGGGGAAACAACATGGTACACTTATTATGATTCCGATTATGACATCATAGTACTTCCACGTTTTACACGTTCTACTATGTGCTAACTGTGTACTCGGTCGAAGACAAACAACGTTGTGTTAAGAAGCAAAAGTGAAAGCTTGAAAAGATGTACTGTCAACGAAATCGAATTTCAAAAGGCGTGAGATGAACGCATTTAGTGCATAACTGCTTTAAATATATATGCACATGACAAACGGAAAGCGATATCCAATAATACGATGGCGAATATTGAACGAGTATAAGTGAAATTAATTTCTGTAAGCGTATAACATGCCTAACTACTACAGTGCTCAAGTCTCACACATATATTAAATCGTTAGTTCCACTTCGAATTCCCAAGTCAAATGAATTCTAGAATAAGTCCATTTTCTCTTCCAAGTATTCAACTATGTACGCTCTAATGTTCATTCGATATTTAGGTCGGCAATTAGGAGAAGTCTCATCAGTAAATATCAGTGGTGTTTTCGTGGTCGCTTGCATGTCAGTTAGTTGCATGCACTTTTAGTTCCGTCAATATTCGATGGATATGAATAAACAGCAGCCGAAACTGCACAAATTGAAGATAAATCATGAACCAGAATAGCATTAGTACTGGTAATAACTAACAACATTACTACGAATACGACTATCACTAATTGTAATAGTGCTAATTTTGACTTGTGTAAATTTGACAAAATGAATAAACTAGTGCCAGCATCGCCTCATCTCACCCTTTGGTTTTATTCCACAACCAATCGAAACTCATGAATTTATAGTATCTTTTCTATGCCAATAGAATGGAACTAAGACAGCAATAAATCGATGGAACTGAATTAGCCTAGTCTCAACTAAACCGGCTACTAGTCTGCCCGCGAGTTCTTGATGAAGTGTCATATATTTTCTCTGAACGTGAACACATATGAATAGCCTCGTTCTCCACTTCGCATTCATCTGTTTTCTTGAGAACGCCTACATTCCAAGAGCCTGTAGTTCAGTCAAACTAGCAAATATCCCTAACACTCAATGAAATGCACATATACTGCTCATTGAGTCTTTATGTCTTGTGTTTTACTATCAGTAATTACAGGTAAGGCAGTGTACTGAAACAAAACAGGTAATTAAGCACATTTAATTTGGTATGGCTGATGTAGAGTAGCATATTAACAACACAACCAGTGCCTTGAGCATTGTGCGTAATCCCGTTGTTCACAAACGACTGGCTTCACGAATAATGATGGTGTCTGTTGTCCTGAATAGTTGTGGAACTAGGATGTCACACAGATCTGCTCTATTTCGTTGAGCAACCTTGAAACCATTGCCGGATTAGTTGATTGCCTAAAGTCAATCAAGTGTTTCGAAACAGGCTCTCGTACTGTCTTCCCTTCCTTCATACAAAGCCAATGTGTGATATGCAATTCTAGGGCTTCTCTAACACAGTATGCCATCACCACTCAGGTTTAATACGTGATTAAGGAACTCAAAAGAATGGGACGAGTAATCAAGCGGGAACTATAGTTTCCCTACGATTTCTAAGGATTCCATTATCTTTTGGTCGATGAATTCTGTTTACTTGTGTTTGACTAGGTCGTCCACTTCACTTGCCCTCTGCCATGCTTTTGAAAATAAAAGCTTGAGAACACCACTACTTTTCCACAGCATTACCGGACATCGGTCATAAATTTGAAAGATTATTTCGGTAGGAAATTCGGTTTCTAAATTGGTGATTCAGCTTCGTCTAAATCTGGCATTCCATTCTGTTATAGCTGACTACGATCTGAATGTCGTTGTCTTTTGGGTGTTCCTTGATTGCTTCTCGATCGTGCTTACTATTTAGTCTGGTGTCTTTATTCATGCATAATGTCTCATTCGCTAGACATAGGAACTGAACTTCTGCAGAGGTAGAATCCTTTGTAACCTGAATTTGATCGCATGATGCCGAGCTTGGGTTTCTTCAACTACCACAATACTTCGACTGATTTAACACTAAGTTTAAAACCGTCAGGTGTAGAGACGTGTAACGCCGGTTGCCATATGAGATTTAGCAAGGAGGTGCGGCACCTTGTAGTTCACCCCTCAAACAAGTAGTCATGCACAGTGCTTAGGCACGAGGAGATAACACGTCAATGTCGGAAAATCAAAGTTTAGATTGGTCACTTCAGTGGGAGAACATCGAAGACAGTTCATCATTACAGTCCTTCCGCCACCTGCAACAACTTGTAGGGGACATTATAGTGGTAGAGGCTGTGATGAAACAAGGTTAGAAACAAGAACCCCCGCACTGAGAATGTACAGCGGGCGCTAGACACACAAGATCCTGACCACTTTCTTGAACACGAACCCATCGTACACCAGATGGTGGAGAGGACACAACTGACGGAAGGCTAGATGCACCATTTGACTGTGAGGAAAGACGTAATAATCCCATAACTATGGTTAATGCTAGGTCACTAACAGAACAACTGGCACAAATGAAGCTAACATAGGGCAAACGTGGTAGATCGCTCAATAGAGTACGTCCTCCACCAAGCAATAGACCCAGACAAACTGGAGGTCAATTCTCTCGGTATCCCTGATGGTTTGGAATGTAGTTGACGAAATGCATGCAACCACGTGACTGACCTAAACTGCATCACAAGTAACAGGGAAAGGATCAACCTCTTCTCAGTTAGCGACTACTCAGAAGTGGTGATGGACAGCCACTCATTGTACATCGCGGATAGAAACACTTGCGTAAACTTCTTGGTTGATACGGAAGCTGCACTAAGTATCATACCAAAAGCGAAAAGCGTGATGGGACAACAAAAATCCCCTGTCACGCTGCAGGCTGCTAATGAAACCTAGATGACGACATTCAGAGCACTGATGCATGACCTCTGGTTTAGGTGGTATCTGTTATGAGCTTTCACTGTCTCTGCCTTAGACCTAGTAATCAGTGTCATAGAACTCCTAGAAAGATATGACTCATTGGGTGAATACTCAAAACAGACGTATAGCAGAGCAGGAAATCTTCTAGCATATGAACGGCAGAGCAGCCGAGCACCATTGATTGAACCTAGTCCAGTCTCCTCCAGTATAGAGCGGAAGGTCCTGGAAAATGCCAGTAGAATCCTTAAATCTGAAAGTAGCCAACCTTTAAATGCGTTTTAGGGTCAAAAACAAAAGATTCCCTGAATCATGTCACCAATGGTACTGGGAACACAACAATGCCTTAAGGGATGATTACCATCAAGCAGTATCGCCCACCCACTCACTCAACGCAACTCCAGAATCCTCTGGGGTCGATCAACTTCCATAGATGCTTTATACCTAATTGCAAGCAATATATGCTGCCCCTTACAGATGCATTAGGGGGGAAAGCAAATGACTCTGAGCTGTCAAAGTAGGCATCCGATGCATTCACTGAAAAAGGTATTGGCGAAAACTGCAATCCTGAAATATCCTGATCCGGATGCTCCTCTTGCATTAATCTTAGATACGTGTGATAACGCTGTGAGTAGGGCTCAAAATAGCTAGGAACCTCCAAGATTCTTCTCGATATAGCTCAATCTTGCAATAAAACGTTATTCTATTATTGGTAGAGAGTTCAACTGTGATATATATAAGATTAAATAGTGTGATTATAAATATTATGAAAAGTAATTGTATTCTCACTCTGAAGAAAGTGTCAGTTTCACTTCAAAGTATGAGGTAAAACGACCTCTCGAATTACTGCGGTTGTCCGAATACCTGCATATTTCAATTTCTTCAATATGTGATGCACCGTCATGTTAGCTGTTGTGAAACTCACTTTTCACACTCAAGTATTCTGGCATAATGTCAACTCGATTGACTCCCATTCAAAGCTTCCGAAGTGCTGCATCAATAATCAAGTTATTGCCCACAAAATACGAATTCTTAGTCTTTCCATATCTAGTTTATCTCCTTTCAGAAGTGTTCTGACACGCCTTTTTCATCTAAAACCACTACTCAACAGACTTGTTAATTTCCATCAGTTCTATCTGTTAATAGGTAGGACTCAAAAGTATTTTCTAAAGACGATTAGGTGGAGGAAATATACAGAGTGACCTCATTTGGTTCACTAGACCGTAAGCCTGGGTGAATACGGAGGGCTCGTCGTACGACTGGCAACCCCACCCAGAAAAATCAACCCAGTCACTTGAAAGAATTTAACACCCAATAAAGCAAAAAAGGGGTAAAATGATCCTCTCATGTATAAAAGATGAAGAATGTAGCGGAATGATGAGGGCCTCTAAGAAGTCAGCCAGCTGATATACTTCGTTTCTTTGGAATCGAAATTAATATTGTGATGTCAAATAATGAATATAACTTGATTATTATAAATTTTTATATTTCATATAAACGTGTAAGTTAACGTGAAACACTGGCCCTTATTACAGACAAGGTCAGACAGGGTATGATTTTCAATCGTGAAATATCAGTAAACTAGCATTTTTTCAAAAGTCTAAATATTTCGCTTATGGTACAAGTAATCAGAACAAGTCCGTATAGGTGTTAAATAGTAAACCTTTCACTAAGGCCGCCACTAAGGTCGATTGGCGACTCAAACTTCCTTGCGTTCGCTGCTGATAGTTATTGTCATCCAACAAACAGCATCCATTTGGGTAAATGATTGGCCCACACGTGTTTGAAAGCTATTTCAGGAAGAGAAGAATGTCCTGAGAAACTTCAAAATGGTATAAAGTACAATTACGAACAGTACATCACTGAAATTACAAGCACAAGCTATATACGAGAAGGAGCTATAGAGTCCTTAACCTCGCCTAATTTATTAACTCGTTAGTTTTCTAACCGGTCACAAACTCAGTAAAAGAGGAGGGCTGGACTTAGGGCTAGCGACCCTACCCTCAAAGTGCTACAGGAACAT